GTTGGTGTTCTTCAAGACACGCAATCATATGATATCTGTTTTGAAGCTTGATACCTCAGTTTGAAGTGTGATCAAGTTGGCCAGCGTTGAACAGGTGAGCAAAATGACAGCATTGGTCATATAATCGGTAGGACATCACAAAGCAGAAGCACTCTCTAATGGCCACTTTTGATCGCTCTCTTTATATTAGAATTTCATGGACCCTAACATCATCAAATTGTATCAAAGCACTTCACAAGATTTACTGTAAAGTGTAGTGACTCTGTATTTGTAGGTGAAAATGGAGGGCAGTTTGCACTTATCAATGCCTTGGAACAGGTATACATTTTATAATTTATATCATTATTCACTGAACAAAAAATTCCAACACCACCAACATTTCCTATATATTTAGTTCCATTTAATACCACAATTACATCCAGGGCCAATTATTTTAGTTCGTCACAACTAAGCTTGATTTATTATATGAGAATATCCAAACCTCTTCACACCCTGGTGCTGTTTCATTATTTTCTCATTACTCCAATGAATTCAAAACCACATGACCGGCTGATTAATCTTTCAATCCTTATTCTGCCACATTTCTTTACAAACCTGTTCTACTCCTGCAGTGTTTTGGATTACAATATCATATAGTTCCACTTTTTTCTTAATCTCTTTCATGCTTTTCTGCTTGTATTGGAGAAATCACCTTAACATCATCGGCTATTTAATATGTTAAACTCAGCTCAAAGGGACCTCCAGCACAAACTTGTAACGTTTTATTCAAAGCAAAGGTGTGGTGGACTTACTAAAACAGAACTCAAACAGTCCTGAGAAAAATAAGACGAAATTGCATTGTTCCATTGTGAATAACCCAGTTAAACATATTTTATTTTTAAACTAAACTAAGCATGGAACACATTAGAATTAAATATTTAAACCCAGTGCTGGTTTGTTACAAGGTGGAATTGTTTGTGTTGTTCTGTGTCCCGACTGTTTTAAGTTGGGACACAGAAAAACACAAACAATTCCACCTTGTAACAAAACCTAGAATATGACTCAACGTAATGCTATTTGCTCAATGAGTAGTGTTTTTTTACTGTAAGATACTTCTACTCACACTGCAAACAATTTAATCCAGTTGCAATAAGAAGATAAATGGGATTTAGACTAATTAAAAGAAAACACTGTACATTGCATAATGAAGCAAGTCATTATGATTTTAGTATGAGCACTAGAAAAAACAGAAGGACATCTTAGTTTGTACAGTCGATGGATTAATAGGTTTATTTCCCCAACCTGTTTTTGTTAATAGAGTTTCATTAACATTTCAAATTAGAAGCACACAACAATAATTACATTTAGCAAAAGTGCACATTTGTTGACTAAGGATAAAGACTGGACTTTAATCTAGACAACATTCTGATTTTTCTCAATGTCAAATATGATGCCATTCAGCTAGTGACAGATTCTGGTCCCTTGCAAAAGGTACTGCAGTCAATATAACAAAGGTTCAGTGTGTCACAATAGACTGGTTTCAGCTAGATGTTAATAAATGTCTTTTCATTTTGGAATTTTCTTCACATAGTTGAGATACAGAGGCAGTGTTTTGTCAACCTTTAGATAGACAATACTTGAAGAGCTATAATACTAACGGTGAGTGGAAATGTGATGAGCCATATTTGCAATAAGTATGCAAAAAGTGTGCTGTGCACAAACTGCAATTACAAGATAAGGCTATTATCTTTTAATGCAAATTGGTGCAAAAGCTACCACTGTCAGATGGTGCTGGGGACAGATAAATCAATTCGCATTAGGAGAAAATGTGGAAGGTAAAAAATGAAAAGTATTTCCAATGTCAGCTATTGTAGACCCAGACAACATTACGTCTGTGTACTTAGGACATTGAAGTAGAGTACAGGCAAACCTTAGTTTATTTTAAATTAACTCCCCAGTGTGATCAAGAGCAAATCAGTTATCAAACATAGTGAGAGGATTCAGTGCATGTATCAAACCAGAATTAGGGCTCCTCTCCATCAGTGGTATCCAGGTTCCTGATGGACAATTTTTTTAAATTACAAGGAAATAACTTGAGACTTTAGTGCTCAGGGAAATGGAGTCCAGGTTTAATATTGTGTAAATCATTTTCTTTGGTTCAGTTGATGATGGATTCTAACTGTAAAATCATTTGGATATTGTGAGTTAGAGCACTGAAAAAGAATTATAGATAAATGACTTCCAAATTAAGATTCAATTTAACATGTTTCCAAAATTCTGCACAGTCTTATATTTCAGACAATAATCTTAGCCATTTGAATAATTTTAGTTTTCTGGTTACCCATTTGTGCCTCCTTCCACTGCCTCTCCTGAATCTACAGCTGCTGCTCCTGCCTTTACTAAGTGCCACTTCCTCTGACTCAAATAAATGATATCCTCACCAGATGCTTTTCACCAGAAAGACCCTTTCCACAACCTGCTGTGACATCCACTTCTACCAGCGCCATCTGTCATGGTTCTCTGCCTCCTACAGTGTCTCTAAATGCACAACTCAAACTAGCATTGAATCTGAAACTGAATCATTGTTAGTTTCTATCAGAATTAATAGGCAGATGGAGTTTAATTCTTAACACTTTTCTTATTAAGAATTTATTTCCTTGAAATATCAAAGTTTTAAATGTGTGAATTCTGCAGCATATTCAATGTTTTACAAATGTGCTAATTACAAATTTCTTACTTAAGAAATCTGCTAAGATATACCACAGATTAGAGACCAACAATTGGACCAGCGTTTCTAGAATTACTGAACATTTCTTTCTCTCTGAAAAACGAGTGCAGTGCAGCCAAGTGGAACTTTACCCAGCGGAGCGAAAAATAAACCTCATACATTTCATAGCAATGGAATGTGAGTTAACATGGTCTAGCCTCGGGAAGTCTGGCTGAAGAACGTGTTAGTCTACTAAAGCCATTTAAGAAGTATTTTTGACTGAAGCTTGAGTTCGGTCATCTTGACTGCATTCTCACTCACATAATACCCTTATAATGTGGCTAAGGGATGCACTAATGTAAATAAGGTGTGAAAAAGAACTGTAAGAAGGGCATCAAATAAGAAATGTCAATAAGAATCACAATATCATGTATAAAAAGGAAATCCCTAACTGATAGGTGGTCTCATCAAGTAATTCAGCTGATGGTTTTAATGCCTATTTTTTTCAGAACAGAAATCATTTTTTTTCAAAAAGTTAAACGTTTTCTTAAAGGAGATTTGTTTTACAAGGTGAAACATGCAACAAGATTAAGAATAACGTGGTTAAGGTACCATGACTGTTAGTGCTCTCTGCTCCTTACAGATAGAACAAGCTGGAATAGTTTTTGAAACTAAAAAATAGTGGTAATTTCTTCACTCAATACACCTAAAGGTAACTGTGAAGAAATCAATGTTACTATGGCAATAGGATAATAACTCAAATAAAATTATTTTAATTTCTGTCGACTAGCTTGTAAACATAACTGAGCTTGAAATTAATTTCTCTCTAGTTTATGCTGTCAATGCTACCACACTCTGTCACTTACTGTCACTCTTGGCAGTGAAGATCACACTTGTGCTATTCTTGTTGATCTTAGTAAGGAAGCAACTAATGCAAACATAAAACACCTGGGTTCAATAAGGCCTTACAGTAGGTCTTACCACAGATCGTTTTTAATCCACTCCATCGTGGAATCTACTCAACCATTTGCACTGGCAAATCTCCACTTATCAGTAAATTTGGCAGGTGAACATGTCTTACTCACCATTATTTGGCTTCCATCAAAGTTAGTGAAGAATCAGGCACCAACGTCAGTATATTTAGAGCTGATTAGAGTAACAGCTTCAAGCATGTTAGATTTTGTAAGACCCTTGAATAATGCATAAACATTGAATTGTGAAATAACCTGATCTGCTCTACAAATAGGAATTGTTTTTTTTAATTGAGAAAGACGATTAGCCATAATGCAGCCCAAGGTTGAGGAGAAGCCATGATAAATCAAAAACTGACTTTCGATGGCTGACACCAAGCTTAGGTTTTAAAAGCCAGTAGATTACAAGATGAAGGGAAGAATGAGAGAGATAAGGTTCCTTGAGCCTTGTGTTCTGGGAGGAACAAGATTTTTTTCAATATTTTGATGATGCTGTGCAAGTGAACACATGAACCCAACTCCATCTTGTCAGAAAAAGACAAATTAACCTTAAAATAATGGTTTAAATTGCATTAAAATAGTATTATTCATTACAGGTTTGACATATGCTTTTCATTTTCCAATTCCTACCAAAGTGCGTAGTTAGAATTCTGTTGCTGTCGATGACAAATTATGCAGTTTTTATAGTTGAACTCCAGCAGGATCCCAATACACACTCTGGGATCTCCCAAGTTTTGGCTCTCGCCAACCTGCACTTAATACTTTGTGAAATTTGATAGCAGGGTGCGACCCTTCAGGGTGAAAGTGTGCATTCCATTCCAAACACAGGGAAATCTCCATATGTTTGGGGCATTCATGTGGAACTCTGGTTTGAATACTCTTAAGCATGGTGATGAGTTTTCCAGTTAGATACCTGGCTGCCTGAAAAAAAATCCTGTTCACATGGTTAGAATCAGCCTAATTATGTTTCAAGTCTAAGATGCAAAAGTGCCAGAAAATACAAGTAAAATACTGTGGGAGTCTTAAAGACAGTCTCTGTCTAACCTTATCCCCATCGCTGCCTGTACTGCCTAATAATGAGGACAACCACTTGCGCAGTATATTTTGCTGCTCTATTCCTTTTCCAAAATCCTGGCATGTAGGTAAGATGAAACTGCTCAAATGGGAGCAGCCCTATTTTATCACTACCTCCAGATCGCAAATATGAGCAATACTGCTACCAATTCCAACAGCAGTGAAAACCAGATCGAGTGCATGAGTTTCATTTATCAGAATACAATAAATACAAGTTTTCCATGTTTTCAGTCATTTGAGTAAAACTATTTGATTTTGTTGCTCCACAGGAACTTTTTACACCTGAATGCAAGTTTAAGGAATCCGTATATGAAAACTACTATGTGATCTATTCATCAATGCTATACAGACAGCAAGAATCTGGTAGGGCTTGGTACCTGGGTTTCAACAAAGAAGGACAGATCATGAAGGGAAACCGTGTGAAGAAAACCAAACCAGCTGCTCATTTTCTGCCTAAACCATTGGAAGGTAATACTTACTTGTAAATTTACTCTTTAGTTTTTATTACTGGATTTTTGTTGCAGAAAGACACTCTTTTGCATTTACCATACTCTATAGACTGAAGGATTATTGCATGTAGATTTATTTGGAGCATACATAGTGGGGAACATTAGGTTTATCAAATAAGTGATACAGAGTCTTAATTAAATGGGTCATATCTTATATCCCAGATTTTGTGTATTTCATTTGTACCATGCATAAAAAGTTTTAACTGTATTAAAAAGCAACTTAAAGAGGAAGGAAAATCTGTTCGGAGCGTGCAGTTGTATCCAGATGGTAGTGTTTATCCAGTGTCCAGTAACTCCGGGTCAGCTCCCAAGCTGATGCGAAGTGCTGGCTTGCACTAAGGTGAATTCATCAGGAGAGGATGGTCCTCCCCTTACCATTCATCAGTGGAGAGTTGTTGAAGAGGTAAGGAGATCCCAAATGGCAAGTTTCCATGATGCTGTTATTTCCTATTTATGGTTCTTTTTGTAAGAGATGAAACCTTAAAATCCAGATTATTTCTTTTGTTGCCTTTAAAGTTTGTCAAATAAGATTTGCTTAATATGATCAAAGTCCTTTGTGATGTCAGAAAGAAGCCAGTGAAGTACTGTATTAAAGCGTGTAGTATGCAATGATAAGGTGCTGTGAAGTTTAACATCTTACAATTTCAAACACAGTAATTGGTACCCATGTCTTCAGAATATTTAAGCCATATTATCCCAATAGTAAGTGAGTTAAGTAGATAAGATTATGCCTCATAATGTAAGTTAGTCAAGAAAGATATTGAGAAACCAGGGCACAGCTATGTACTATACTGTATGTCACACATACATGTGATAACATAGTGAACAAATGCACTCTGGGATTTTAGAACAGAACTGAAATGTATTCGGATGTGAGAGTGACATGAAAAGGTTTACAGGGGCTTAAAAGTGACAAGTCAATATGTGTTAAAACAATTTATTAACCCTCTTAAGAGCTTGGCAACTCAGACTGACAAATTCACAACATATTGTGCTATTTTTCACTCCCAATAAAAATTGGGCCATTTTCCCACAGCTTACTTGTAGGCTATGAGCCACCCATGAGAGTGCAGCTGGGATTTCATTGCAGCCATATGTAATATCAGAATATTATATTGACACAACTTCTGTAAGATTCAAAGTTTTAGGTCAATTTCCTTTTGTTTTGCATTATAATAGTGATATTATCAACACAAAACTCTTAATATTTTGCACTAATTGAAAAGTCCAGGTACCTTGTAATGAATTGAATAATTATACGGTCATGTTTTTACTGGTTGGTAGTCAATGGCTGATAATGAGGAACTACCCAGGTGGGAAGCCTATATAAAGCTACCATTGTAACATCTCTGCAAAGCAACTTTAGTTGCAGTGGCAAAATGCTGCAGTTATTCTTTTTCAGAAACTGTTTTATAGTATGTTTATCACTAAACTCTTTTCCCGTTTAGTAGCAGATATATAGTAACTGAATATTTCTGTGGAAGTTAAGGATTAAAATGCCAAACATTTACAGTTTCTTTTGCATTAGCAACACCACTGAAAAGCTGAGTGTATTATGTCAGTGAACAAAGCTTTTCAAGAAGCACTAAAAATCACGTTTTACACGTGTTTATACATGGTGCATAATAGACCATTATGCAAAAATGGGACAAAACATGGCCCAGTACCTCAGCAATGACAGGAATTCAACGTGTTCTTTCAATTGTGTGATGGATTGGCATAATTCACTCATCCGTTCTGATTCCTTCAAAGAACCGCTATAATTCACTGTCACTGACAAGGTATTTTCTGACCTTTGTTTTAATTTGTTTGATTTGATCTGAGAAAAAAGGCTGTATCATTGCTCTGGATTTATATGAAAACCGTTTTCACCTTTGGAGCCTGATGATGCAAACTTTAAGGCAGCTTATAAATTAAGAACTAATTTTCTAAATTCTGCCCAATCTGACATATTTAAAACAAAATCCAAAAAGGCTAATGTTAGGAGTTTAAAAGAGTCCTGACTTCTTGGAGTGTTCCATACATGACACTGGATAGCAAAAAGAAAATCAGACATGATCATTTCTCCCAGTCATTTTTTAAAATTGAGTTTAAAACGGGTTTATTTTTCTCTGCTGCCTCTCATCCAAATGCATTGAATTCTTTCAAGTGCGGGGGAGGTGAGTGCATAGGCACTAGCTGATCTCTGATATTTCATCCAAGAGATAATTCTTCAAGTGAACCCAGACACTAACTGTTGGCAAACCACAGAGGTTGTTAGTGGTGTGTACGTATGATGGAAATAATTGCACACCTGCAAAAGGCCGTCATTTTACCTACAAGTGAAGAATAATAAGCATTAACTCCCAAACATTGGTGAAATTATTGATGGAGAGATCACAATCCTAATCCTAAATTCTTCCTTTAATAATAAAGCATGGTTATAACTGATTCACATTCCACATCAGGCATCTTGCAATCTAGAGGTATTTCCACAATGTATACAGTACATTCAGCACCAATGACCTATATTACTAGACAGGTTTAGCTAGTCACCCTTTGCTACACTTTGTATTTACTGCTTGCAACTTTATTTAATTCATAATATGAAAGCTGAAGAGATTTGAACATAATTTTTTCTTTAAATGCTTGCATATTATTATTCCTCTATGCTTAATGCTTTGATTTACACTTCTAATATTCCTAATATTTTCAGAAAAGTATTTTGAGGTATTTGCATGATTTATTGTTTTCATTGAACAAATCTCCCCATGTAGATCCTGTACAGCTGAGGCAGGATTCAAATTGACCCTCTTGACTCAGAGCTACTTTACAGTAATTGTAAAATTGGCTAGCAGAGTTCATTGACATTATTTGGTGTGTGAGTGTAATGCAGGGGAGAATTGACAGTTTTAGCTGAGATTTATTGGTGAAAACATATGAGTGCCTTTTTAAAGGGGTATTGTATCTCTCAAAATGGTTTGGCCATCATGAAAAAAATATCCTCTGTGACTTCAAAATGTACAAAGCAATAATGTAATGTGCACAGAAAATTATTCTTGCACTAGCTGATCATAACATTGTATTGAAAGTTCCTATTCCAGCTCATCTCCATTCCGCTTCCCTCAAAAAACTGATTTGTCTTCTTCACAAAGATAGTGCCCAATTGCAGTGATTTACAGTCACTCATAAACTTATAAAAGTTATAAAATTATTTCCCCAATTATTCTTTTCAGTTACCATGTACCGAGAACCATCACTGCACGAAATTGGAGAAACAGTACCGAAACCTGGAACCACCCCAAGTAAAAGCACAAGCGCTTCTGCAATAATGAACGGAGGTAAACAAGTAAAAAAGAACAAATCAACATAGCCAGATCTTGGTGAGGACGTGAATTCCTAAACCATTACACTGTTGAGTGATTTATCCCTGGCAGACTCTCACCTTCTAATGTCTGTGGATCAGGTAAAGCAAGTGAACCCTTGTTCATTGCAGTCTTTGGACTATTTAATTGCAAGTGGATAAATCCCAACAAGTAGCTACTTCTACAACAAGAAGAATCCTGGATAACCAGCTAAACTCTGACCATGGAATGCCCTACCAAGATAATGGAATGCCTTTTATCTTTTTCTTGTTAACTGTGACACTCCGTGAGAATGATGTATTCCACAACTACATTTGGTACATTGCCTGCTAAACACATACCCAAGAGTCTCTTTTTTGAATCTGATCCCAGAGAAGTTCATGTGTTTCAGACCTGTCAATTTGTAACACAGCAAACAGCAGTGGATTCCCGGATCATCTCTGTCAGGATGCTGTAAATCTCTGCTCCTTCAGACTCAGTCTCTTCCTCCTTTTTACATGGCTGCTCTATGCACTGTCCTAACCTTTTGCAGGGACTGTGTGTGTGGGTGTGTTGCGTGTGTGTATGTGTGAGCGTGTGTGGGTGTTTTTGCTATCAAAAAAGAATTTAAAAAAATGACACAGCTGGCTCGACTCCAGTGAGGATTGCAAACACAAATCAGTTATCAGGGATACAGGAAGCCTTGGTGAAAACTATCATGACAAACGCATCTATCAGGAATAGAATCAGTGTCTCAGGCTTAGGCTATTGATTAGACTTGTAAATGAAAACACTGCAGAGACTGATAAATTGCTCTTTAGATTGGTGGTAATATAGAGGGAATTGTGTCGACCACAATCAATAGAAAGTGCTCTGATTAGTGTCTGGCACCTCCACAGTTCCCTTGTGCTATATACATATCACAAGCTGACTCGGTAGTGGTGACATTTGCCTTGCCCATTGAGCAGGACACACTAATCTAAATTGTGTGTGGGCTCCAGGAAACCTGGGTAGACTTTGTAACCCATGCACAAACAAAAAGCCAACCCCTCCCCCTATTCAGCTTTTTGAAATGTTGAGCTATGCTAAAAGCAAACTGGGTTGTGCTTCATGTGGTCATTGGAAAAAGTCTACTTTTGTTACTATTCTCATTGTGTTCTTCCTATACTCAAATAAAAGTGATGCTGACATGGCAGACATCAGGCTGAGTGCCACTCCTATGGGATTCGAGTGAAGCATGGGCAAGGCTGCTGTTTTGTTGCAGCAGCAATACAAGCTCAAACTGATACCTTCTTTTCAATGTAGAAGATAAAGGTTTTTAATGACTATGATAGAGATGTGAGGGAGATTTTTTAAAGCTCAGCATGCCGAGTCCAGTACTGCTCATTGTGGTCAATGTACCAGCATACCTCTAACCCAGCATGCACTTAGACAGTCACTGGAAGTTGCTGGGTTGTTGACAAGTTATCTTGTCCTAAGTGCAAACCCAAACTGAGGCCTAAAGGAAGTCTTTTGTGACTATTGCCATTAGTCTAATCAATTCTCAATTATCCTTCAGCATTTGAACCATTTTTTGAGTATTCAAAAGAGCATTTTTAAAAAATCATTTATTTTTTAAACTTAGTTTCATATCTTTCACTACTCTGCTCATTAATTATAATCAGGTGGTGACATTGCAACACATAAGATAATAAAAAGAAAACAAATTGGCTTAAAATGGAAATAAACTGAGAGCATCACATTCTGTGATATTCTAAGTCAAAGTGGGCAGTAAAAATTTACCTTCAAAAGCTGTATATTTGATAATGCAAAGTATGGAACACATTCTCTTTCTTGTAACTCTTCCCTGCCAGCAGTTTTGACACATTGATGCCAAATCACGGATCACTTTGTTCAGCTTTTCATTTCTTTTGTGACTCTTTCCACTGTGAAGTGCATTATTCTGATGTATATCAAATGTACTGAACAAAAACTGTGATGTCCCGAATTTAATTTGCCATCTAAATGGCAGCCTGCTAAGGAATTAACGGTTTTTAAAGGTTTTGAATGGGAAGTGACTCAACTGCATTGCTAAAACATCATTAAGTTGAGTCGGTTCCTAGCTTTACATAAAGTCAGTTTCAAATTGGTTATAAATGTCTTTCTCATTAGGCAGGCCACATCAAAATAAAAAAGGGGGCAGAATTCAAATGAAAGACCATTGTCTACCATGTCATATGCAAATCAAGTTTAAACTTTGCAGGGGATGGAGTCATAATATGAAGTTGACTGAGAAACATGGAAAAGCAGATGTTCTGGATCTAGGAAAGATGAGCCGAGATGATGAGTAGGACTTAAACACAAGTCTTGGACGTCAAGTGATCAAAGCCATTTTGTAGTCCTGTACCATTCAGTATGTCTGGCCATAAAGTACTTGATTTTTTTTAAGCAAGACATTAGCAAACATTTTCAATTTCTTGTTAGCTTTATTAGTAATATAGAGGTCAGAATGTTCATGTTACAAAGAACAATTTGCCAGGCTGCAGGTGTCTTATAGTTCTTACAACCTTTAAATCTATTTAGCTATTAAAAGTACTTCTTTGTAATATTCCTGATTATTTTACAAATTACAACTTCTGCAGATTGTTATAAAGTAGAACATGCTGCTATGCTGCTAAACTGTAATTGTACACATCTGAAGATTTTAGCAATTTATAATCTTTGTCTGTCTGACCGACCAAACCAGATTTATGTTGATTTCTTTATAACAGAGAGAACAATAATCGAAGCACATCAGCCAGCATCAGAATCTCTGTGTAATCAGCTAATTAAATGCTGTGATAAAAATGAAATGATTTGCACAAGTAATTTTGATTTTAGCTTTATGGGGCTGGTGTCCCAGAGACCACATACAACACACAATTTTCGACAGTGCTGGCCCTACATGCTGTGCTACTGTTCACCCTCCAGACCAGTTGACTGGTTCAAACGTTGGCTGAATTTATTTTTGTAAATGACAATGGGTATGTAAATGTTAACTCCTCTGTTTTATTCTTTCTTTTTATTTTCTTTATACAAGTTGTCCGTGAGGGGGTTTAATTCCAAATGAATGGTTGTCCTCGACAAATTAATTCTTATCATGTTTTTTTCAGAAATATAGCAGAGGGATCTTTGTTCTTTGTGCTTTGGTTACAATTTTGTCTGTAGTCTCATCTGTTGCATGGGAAGAGGATGGCAATGACGAAACAGAACTGCATGTAGTAGGCTATGTGTTTTCAAGAACTGTTAGTATGTATTACTTACTTTACATACATATATGCAAAAAGAGTTTGTCTGCAATGTACAGTTTAAGTGTTTATTATCATTTGTTGTACACACAGATACAGCATATTGAATAAAATATTTATATGAAGGCATAGTGAAACCATCGACCATAAACTATACCTAGGAAGAGGACCACTGCTTTCTTGAATGTTAAGGAAAGGAATGGGATAAACGGGATAAACATAACCATTTGATAGATATGCCAAAGGAACCTTTAGTTCTGTTGTTCTGTTCATTTATTTTCAATTCCCCACTCCCCTGAATTATAGGGGTGCATATGTTATATCTACGAATACAGTTGGAACACAACCACATAAGTGAAATGATTTGCTGCCAGATACATTTTCTGACAGTGCAGAACTTGACGTGATTTCTACTGTGTAGGATATATGTAAGGAATAGCAAATACTGGATTATTTGGGCATATAGTACATATTTGCACATTCTAGGCCTAAGAATTTGTTGTTGATTTATTTACAGTTAAGACAATGGATAATCAAAGTAATGTGACTATTACACCAAACTAGGTATGTGATTTAATGTGGACAGAAATAATAAAAACAAACTGCACCGGGAAACTCATGTTGGGTACTTCTCTGGGGTACTCTATTGGTCAGCCTAATGGTAATGAATATCAAAGAAATTATAATATATCATTAATATGAAAAAACTGTAATGTTGCAATGGTCTTATCTGCTTAGAGTGGGCAGTGCAAGTGCAAGTTACAATCTCAAATCAAAGTGGAATACTCTATAAATGATCTAAAGACTTGTCACAGGGTGGATCAATTCTGAGTTCAATTCATTATGTAGAACATTTTATATCATCTGCAAAGCTCGGTCACTTTTCAACTTTGCAGACCAACCTCAAAGTGTATTTCTTGTGCAAACTGTGTTAAAATATTTCCATGGCTGTTTTTTCACCTCTGGATGAAATCAGAATAAGAATGTATTATGCACGTGGTGAGCCCCCACCATGTAATTCCCATTGTTTGATCTAAAGTATGTGATTGGTTTACCAGTGAAACTAAACATATCAACATTACCAAGATACTGGTTTGTTTTCTGGTGTTTTGTTCAAAAAGGTGGCATGCAAATTTCACATAAGCCCCCACATTTTTCAGACGTGCATTCTCTTGAAAACATTTGCTTTTGACACAGAAAGGTTCTTCAAATTGACATTAAACATAGAGATTATTCTATTGAGGAACAGCCTCATGTTAAAACTTCTTAAGAGTTTGATCCAAAGGGGATTTTCCCCATATATTTCTGATCAGACCAATGTCTTGTGGAATCAGAGGAGATAGCAAAGGTCGTACATAGAAAGCTTCATAAAGTATCACATGGGCTGATGAAGTTGGCAAATGAATGCTGATAAATGCAAGGTACAAGAACAACAAAAACAACTTGCATTTTTATAGCATTTTTATTGCATTTTATAGCACTACTTGATAGTGGCGGTGCACAACTCTGAGCTGGAGGAAGAGGGGCGGTGACCAGAGGTAGGGTCGAAGAGGAAGGTCTTCAGCACGATCTGAAGATGGTGAAGGAAGGGGTAAGGCAGAGAGATAGAGGAAAGGTGTTCCCGCGTTAGGGGCATAGTGGTTGAAAGCCCAGCCACGAATGGTGGAATGGAGGGCACGGTGTACATGCAGAAGGCCGGAGCCAGTCAATTGGAGGCAGGGGTAGTGGATTGGGGAGTAAACAGGTTGGAGAAGGAGGTGCCAGGGTACAAAGGGATTTGAAAATGAGTGTGAGGATTTTGAAATTGCAGGGGTATGGGGAAAGAGTGGGGAAGTGGGACTGATTGGGTAGCTATTCCAAAGAACCGACACCGGCACGAGGGGCTGAATGGCTTCCTTCTGTGCCATAATATTTTATGATTCTATAAGGAAATTGGTCCTTTCGGCGCCAGGAAGCCAGGGGAGCTGGCTAGAACTGGTGCGATAGGGTATGGAATTTAGTGCTGGTGATTATGCTGGCAGCAGAGTTTTGGATCAGCTGGATGTTGTGGATTGTGGAGCTGGGGAGACTGTCGAGGGCTTTTGAAAAGTCGAGTCAGGAGGTGATGAACGCATGGAAGAGTGCTTCAACCGCATCTGGGGTAAGGTAAGGTTGGACGCAGGCAATGTGGCGAAGGTGGAGGAAGGGAGTCCTGGTCAGGGACCGGAGGTGGGTCGAACCTGATGCCTAGATTGCACACCAGTTTGGTGAGTCTGAGGAATAGGCTGAAGAGGTTGAGGAGGTCAGAGCCGCAGGACAAAAGACGTTGACGGGAGTCAAGGGTATGGTTTCCATTCTGTCGACATGAAGTTGCAAGACGTTTGCGCTCATCGTTTGCGCCCAGACAAGCCAACAGAACATCGGCGGACCTGCAGTCGTAGCTGGAGGAGGAGAAGTAGATGTGTGTGTCATATGTGTGGAAGTTTACCCCGTGTCTGTGGATGACATCACCAAGAGGGAGCATGTAAGTAAAGAAGAGAAGGGGGGCAAGAATAGAGCCCTGGGATGCGCTACAGGTGCAACTGGACATGGGCATGAAGTACTTGTGTTTCATATCAAGAATAGGAAATTCAAGTACTCCATGGGTGGAATTGAACTTCAGTCATGAGAGATGACTCAAAGATGTACAAAATTTTAAATGGAATTGATAAAGTAAACTCAGATCAATACTTTAGGATGTATCAAGACAGTAGAACAAAGGTTTAGAGTTGTAAAGGGCAATTTTAGGACAGATACCGGGAAGATTTTTCTTTATGCAGAGGGTAACCAACGACTTGAACACATTGCCAGGAAAGATGGTAGAGGCCAGGGCACTAGACTAATTAAAAAAAATGCAGTAATGGGAGATGGTTGGGTGGGTGTTCAAGAGGGATGAGATCTTAGGATCTTGAGCTTTATTGGCCAACCCAGCTCATCTTGAGTATGTTCTGATTCAATAGATTTTAATGACACTTTTAGAAAGACACTATGGTGCCTCTTATAGGTTTTCTGCCATATAAAAGCACATAGTTCTAACGTTTAGGCTCTCTGATCAATTACTGTAGTCGCATTGGAAAGATGAATTCTAAAAGCAGAATTTCCTGACCAGGGCATACTTTTTTTGCATTAAATTGGACTTGTTGTCTACCGGAATGACTGTCTTGATTTTTCAGACCACTGAGTAAATATAGTTTGTCACATTGTTTATTGACAGCACCGGTGACAAGGCCATCTACACCACATTTATTTCAGGCTATTTTCAAAGCAGTTCAAATTAGCATTCTTTCTGGCACAGTCCAAGTGGTATTTAAAAATAATCATTATAATCAACAGAATGGGATACAAACTTAAAGGCACTTATTATTGTCAAATTCTTTTTTTATTCAAACTGCAAGGTACATCTTTTCAGCATGAATAGGAATCTTGCACACCATTTTAAATCATTTATACTGTCAACTCAACCAATACCCATCGATCACAACACTAATTTGTAAGCTTGTCTCATATCCATTTATGCATTTACTGCCCATAATATTTCTGAATCATTAAAAGTTTGAATGTTTGCAAATTTATTAACAATCAATCTACTAGAGTAGTGTTTTAGCTTTATTCAGTCATGTTATGAAATAATTCCTAAACACTTTCTTTGGAGTATAAAAGAAATAATTTGCAGAAATATTTGCAGGTTATATGCTATTACTATGGCTAGAGATGTGTTAAATAAGAGCAAAACAACAAGGGCTTTCGTCAAACTCCCATGCTAATAACATAGTCAATTTTGAATAAAGGTCATTTTGCCATTTATTGTATATGTGGTGTGCTGAAGATGAAACGTCCAGCGTTCTGCGGGGCAAGACAAGCAGCAAACATGAAGAGGAGAGAAGACCTGGGTTTATTACTGTTCTTCAGAATGTTGCTTTTCATTAGACTATCAATCAATGCAGAAAAAAATGCCATGTTCAGAGTTTTCCGATTATCGTTGGCCCTTCAGAAGCCTTCCAATCCAATCCAGATTTCACAGGCACTTCCAGTCCATCCGTCCCAACAGTCACAGTTTCCACAGTTGCACACCCCATTCTCTGAATCAAAAGAGCAAAGGCTAATGTATCACAATTAAAACATAGAGAAGTGCTGCATTTCGCCTAAATAAATTACACATTATAAAACATTCAGTTGGCTCAAGACACCATTTCATTCAAACAGCTATTTTAGTTTTCTTTTACTATTGCAATGAGTTATAGATTTTATTATAACATTTTAAGATTGTATAGCCTGCTTGAATTGTAAATACACTATTGTATACTGATCTAATCTGCAGTTTCAGTTGTCTTAGATGCATCAATATCATTTCAAATATCTTAAAACAATGAGAAGATATAGCCAATATTTGCTGTGTTGAAACCACCACATTTTTTTTGACACTTGTAAAACTAATCCAAAAAGGATCCTTAATGGTTCAGATGGAAAAATCACTGTACAATGTGGAACTGAGGCTCATAGATTGTAAAGGTGCCAAATTCAATTTTGATATGTGTTCTGAGGTTAGCCATGGTGGCAATAGATTGCTGGCTCCACATTGTTTTTACCCAGCATTGAATGCAAGAAAGTAAAGCAATTTTGCAGAGACCAACTAACCAACAGTTTACAGATTACGCTATTGTTTTTCAAACATTATTAAACAACAACAACAACAAGATTACACTTATAGAGCACCTTTCACATCAGGAGGACATCCCAAGGCGCTGGACAGAGTACAGCATTTCAGACCCGAGCTGGGGTCAGGAGGGGGAAGGGAGGGGTGGGGAAGGTGGGTGGCCGATGGCATGGTCGAAGAGGAGGGTCTTGAGGCGGGACTTGAAGGAGGCTAAGGAGGGGGCGAGGCAGAGTGACTGGGGGATGGAGTTCCAGAGGTTGGGAGCAGAGTGGCTAAAGGCTCTCCCGCCAATGGTGGGGCGGGTGGGTCGGGGGATGTGGAGCAGGCCAGAGTCGGCTGAGCGGAGGGAACGGGTAGGTTGGTAGGGGGTTAGGAGGTTGCAGAGGTAGGGTGGGGTGAGGCCATGGAGGGCTTTGTATTTGAGGACCAGAATCTTGAACTGGATCCTTTGAAGGATAGGGAGCCAATGGGGTCACGGAGTTTGGTGCAGGAGAGGACACGGGCTACAGAGTTCTGGATTATCTGCAGCCTGTGGAGGGAGGAGTTGGGAAGGCCGACAAGCAGGGCATTTCCATAGTCGAGCCTGGAGGTGATGAAGGCATGAACAAGAGTTTCAGCGGCCTGAGGGGTGGATAGTGGTGGAGTCGGGCGATGTTACGGGGGTGAGGGAAGGCAGAGCGGGTCATGGCTTGAATGTGGGGGAGAAAAGACGGTTGAGGGTTGAACAAGACGCCTCGGTTCCTGACTGGCTGGTGAGTTGTAGTGTGCAACCGTGGAGGTTAATGCTGCCAGAGCCTGAGGAGCTGAGGCGCTGGTGCGAACCAATCAGGAGGGCCTCAGTCTTGTTCACATTCAACTGTAGGAAAATTGCCCTTATCCGGGACTTGATGTCCGACAGGCAGCCTGTCAGGGAACGGGTGGTCCTGGAGTTGAGGGTGGAGGCAGAAAGATAGAGTTGGGTGTCATCCGCATACATGTGGAAGTTGACCCCATGTCCCCATGTCTGCGGATTATGTCACCAAGGGGGAGCATGTAGATATTAAAGAGGAGAGGGCCAAGGACAGAGCATGGGGGGATCCCAGACGTGACAGTGCGGGGGCTGGAGGAGAAACCATTGGAGGCAACGAAGTGGAGATGGTGAGAGAGATAGGAATCGAACCAGGCAAGGGCAGATCTGTGAAGATTGAGTAAAGCGGAGAGGCGGTGTATGAGGATGGAGTGGTCGACAGTGTCGAAGGCGGCAGAGAGGTCGAGGAGGACAAGGAGGCAGAGGGAGCCCTGATCACAGATGTTCAGAATGTCATTAAAGAACTAATACTGCAGCTATCTCAGTTGGTGCAAAGCACACGTGGCGTGATGCCACCTAATGAGAGTGGTCTCACACCATTTCTTTCATTTACTGCCATGTAAGTGCTGCAAGAGTTTGTGTCAGTTTGACATGAAGATAGAATCAAACCAGAATGTACAGTGTAACTGCCTATTCGATACCTCAAATCACGTTCAGCTGAAAGAAAGTTGTAATATTAGAAAAAGCCTAAGAAAACCTAAATACACAGTCACCTACGAATACACAGTCACTACACTTGACAGTAAAACAATATCCTAGGAAGTGCTTTGGATGACTTGACAATGGTAAAAGGGGTTATATCAAATGCGAGGATTATTATAAATACTTTGTTGTACTTATAAGGAACTCACTAAGGAGGCACAATGTGTCGTATGTAGTGTGCTAGTTAACAATAGGACTCCCCCCCCCCCCCCACACACACACACACACACAATGGTTTTACACGTGGTGGATTTCCAGTCTCATTTATGTAGTTAGGAAAACTGCCAAGTGGAGACTTGCACTTCCCCATAGGGAGGGAAACTGAGGATGAATAATCCAGGTTGTTCTCAGTCTCCTTAAGCAATTGACCAAGGCATGGCATTAACGATTCTTTATGAAGCTGGTACTAGCCACTGCATCAGTTTTTTGGGAACCTGTTCCACTATTGTGTAGAAAAACAATTTAGTTTTATCTGATGCTTGTTAATTTTAAACGTATAATTCTGAGTTCTGCATTCACTGCCTGATTCATATAGTGTGCTATTTCTAGCGCGTTAATGTTTCTCAGCATTTCAGAAATTTGGATCATGGCTTCTATTGTTCCAGTGAAACCAAATTCAGCTCTGCAAGCTTCTTCTCATAAATTAGAGGATTAAACTCTAGATTTGGACTTGTTTCACTACAATGCATATACATTATCCAAATGTAACTTCACTCGTAATCAATATAAGATTAAAGATTCTACTGAGTGTTTGATAACAGCTTCTGATTGTCTGGAACCGTCAATAAGTTATAATAATCAAACTCAAATTGTCTTCTTTCTCCATGTCAAATCGCTCACTTCATATTTTTTCCAGTTGTGATAAGCATTATCTTACTTTTATCTACATTAATATTCATCTGTCACTGCCCTACCCACATGATTAATTGATCCAGGCCTTCCTAAAGAGTATTTGCCACTTGCTCACATAGCTTAATACCATTTGCAAATTTTATATTACAAGAACTGCTCTCTAATTCTTCAATTAGAAACAGCAGGGGATCCAGATCAACAACAAGATGCATGTATTTACATGGGATAATGTATTTGAGCAATTCACAAAGGTGATGTCTTACAAGAGGGAATGGTGAGGTTTTCGGACAGAATTTAAAGATATGGAGGAGGTGAGGCAAAGGAAACAAACCCTTGTTTTATTTTCCCCATCATCACCTGTTCCCTGATGCTCAGAAAATTTTCAATTCAACTATCTAATTTTCCTTTAATCAAGTGGTTAATTTTTAAAAGCTTCATATGTGGAACATTTTCAAACATCTCTGAATATCTATGCAGAATATATTGAATAGAAAATCTACCATCTTAAATACAAGTTCAAAGGCTTTACCAACATCAACCAATTTTTCCTTTATAGATTCACAACAAAGTTTTTTCCACAACACAAAGTCTGCCAACAGATGTTTGTGTTATGGATTCTTAATGAATCATGGTAATTTGACCACAGTTTTCATTTAATTGTACAATTAAATTCATGTCTAAAACTGTGTGACACTGGCAACTTGTGAACAGTAGATGATCATTTTCGTCATATTCATATGAAGGCTTTTCATTATTTCTAATACATGTTCCCACATTTGGCATGATGAAAGCACTGGCATTGAGACATGACCTAGAATGATGGCTGCAGTTCTTATTCACTTGTTGTTCTATCACAAACATTCTTATTTCAACTCATAACAAAATAACACTTGGCTTCTATTGAATTAATATTACTGTATTAAGATTGCTGCTGAAATCTGAGAGTGTTTCTACATTGGTCCTGTCACTCAAAGATAAATATAATAAACTGAAAACACCTGAAAAGATCCTGCAGGAACAAATCCTGGCAGCAAAAAAAAATCTGTATGGAGGGTTTCATCTTACTGGTGAACTGAACTGGATTCATATGGGATAAGCAAACACAGATACTCAAGATCAAAAGATGCAGATTAGACAAAGAATTCATGTTACAATCTTGGGAAACATTTGTTACAGTTGTAGAAGTGGCAAAAGTCAATGAAAGAAAAAAATGTGGAGTACACAGGAAGGAATTGGTGTGTAAATCACTACCACATAAACAAGGGTCCTGGAGGATGGTGGTTTGTGATTTCTAGAAACTGCCAGAGTGCAAGAGATAGACCAGAAATGGGACCAGATGGTGTTGGGGGAGATGATGTTTCACTCTGATCTTTTTGTGGTATCAGGGTTTTGGAGATTACAATTACTGTTCCGACTTCTTTTCCAAATAAGCCCGAAGAGTATTGTTTACCTATCAACCACTTACTGAAAGCATCTGGTCTATCTGACACTGTTACAAATAATGCTAATCAAGCACTATAACACATTTTATAGGCTTTTGATTAAAAATCAAAGGAGTTACTATTAAACACCTACAACATATTGGTAAGACCTCATTTGGAAATAATGTGTGCAATTTTGACTGCCCTAATTTCAAGAAGACAATAATACATAAGAGAAGGTTCAGAGAAAAGAGTGATCCTGGAACTTGGGCAGTGTGCTATGAGAACAGGCTTACAGTATGGGCATGATTTTCACTGGAGAACTAATTCTTACTAAAGCTTACATTGGGATATGATCCAAAACTTTCAAATGCTGAATGGCATGGATAATGTGGATGTAAACCAATTAGTAATTTAAATTCTGATTCAAGAACTGGAAGGCATGAGTACATCATTGATAAGTCTCAAGAGAGACTTGACATGAAAAGAAATAACTCCCCCCCCCACCTCTCGGGCAGGCCACATGTGTAAAATAGTCATGCAGCAGTGGGCTGCTGTTAGCCATCCCTGCCCCAGAGAGCAGTAGATATGCATTCCCTCCAA